TTTTTAGAGAGAGGGAAGAGAGGAGATGTAAGAGAGAAACATCAATCATTGATCAGTATGCACCTCTTGTATGCATCCCGACTAAGGACAGAACCTGCAACCAAGGCAGGTGCCCTGACTGGGCATTGAACTGGTGACCTTTCACTTTGCAGGAAGATACCCAACCAAGAGAGCCACACGGTCAAGACTAAATTTTTTTTAATCTTCACTTTAGGATATGTTCATCCATTTTAGAGAGAGAGAGGAAAGGAGGGAGAAAGAGAGAAACATCAGTGAGAGACAGAAACATTGATCAGCTGCTTCCCAAATACTTGCCTCCCATATGCACCCAACCAGGGATTGAACATGAACCCAGGTAAATGCCCTGGCTGGGAATCAAACCCAGAACATTTTGGTGCACAGGACAATGCTCCAATCAACTGAGCCACCTAGCCAGGGCTGTTCATTTTAAATACCTGGGGAATGAGAAAATTAACCATGCCTTAAAATCATATAAAAGACTAATGGTCTTGAAATTTTAATACTAATTCTCAGATTTTATTTAGAGTAAACCTAGGGAATGATTTTATGAGTAGCTGATATTGAAAATTTTATGAGTAACTGATACTGAAGACTTTAAATCATGTATATTATATATTTTTCACATAAAAGCTTTTTAGGATTTTTAAATTTTTTATTTCTTGATTTTGAGAGAGAGAGGAGGAGAGAGAGAGAGAGAAAGAGATTTATTTGTTGTTCCATTTATTTACCCATTTGTTGGTTGATTACTGTATGTGCCCTGACCAGATATCAAAACTGCAACCTTGGCATACTGGGACAATGCTCTAACAAACTGAGCTACCTGGCCTCACATGAAATCAATTTGCCTTCCAAATCTTATTTGAAAGAATCAAATATCAACTCTGAATAACCCCAGCAATCTTGAGTAAAAAAGAACAAAGTTGGAGGAATCATGCTACTTGATACCAAACTATACTACAAGGCCATAGTAATCAAAGTAGCATGGTACTGGTATAAAAACAGACATATAAATCAGTGAAACATAATAGAGAGCCCAGAAATAAAGCCACACCTTCCTGGTTAATTAATATTTGACAAAGGAGGCAAGAACATGAAATGGGGTAAAGACAGTCTATTCAATAAATGGTGCTGGAAAATTGTTCAGATACCTGAAAAAAAAAAAAAAGAAACTAGACCACCTTCTTATACCATACACACGAATAAACTCAAAATATCTTAAAGACCTAAATTTTGGACTTGAAACCATACAAAATATAAAAGAAACATAGGCAGTAAAATCTTGGGGATTTTTCATAGCACTATTCTTTTCTCTGAGTAAAGAAAGAATATATTCACCAATGGTACATTTGAAAAGGGATTAATTTAAAATGTATAAAGAACTTATATGACTCAACACCAAAACCCAAACAATCTAATTAAATAGTAGGCAAGGGTCTTGGTTGGTGTGGCTCAGTGGATTGAGCACTGGCCTGTGAACCAAAGGGTTGTCAGTCTGATTCCCAGTCTGAGCACATACCTGGGTTTAGGAATAGGTCCCCAGCTGGGGGCACATGAGAGGCAACCACACACTGGTGTTTTTCTCCCCATGTTTCTTCCACCATTTCTTTAAAAATAAATATTTTTTAAAAGAAAATAATTTTTTTAAAAATGGGCAAAGGACCTGAATAGACACTGCTCTAAAGGGGACATATAGATGGCCAATAGACATGTGAAAAGATGCTCAAAGTCACTAATCATCAGAGAAAAGCAAATTAAAACCACAATGAGATATCATTTCACACCTATCAGAGTGGTTATCATCAGTAAATCAACAAACAACAAGTGCTGGCGAGAATGTGGAGAAAAGGGAACCCTAGTGCATTGCTGATGGGAATGCAGATTGGTGTAGCTGCTGTGCAAAGCAGTATGGAGTTACCTCAAAAAATTAAAATGGAACTGCCTTATGACCCAGCAATTCCACTTCTGAGAATATACCCAAAGAAACCTAAAACACTAATTCGAAAGAATATATGCACCCCTATGTTCATTTCAGCATTACAATAGGCAAGGTGAGACAGCAGCCCAAGTGTCCATCAATAGATGAATGGATAAAAAAGCTGTGGTACAGATATACTTGAGAGTTCTGACCAAAATGGAGGCACAGGTAGAAACCCTTCGCTTCCTTGCACAACCAAAAGGAGGATAACAACCAATCTAAAATCAATAAACCACCAAAATCACCATAAATCAAAGTGCATGGAACTGACAACCAAGGAATTAAAGAAAAAACCAACCAGAACAGCCAGACTGGTAAGGCAGACCATGCGGGTCAACTCAGTAAAACCATAGTCAGGCAGCTGAGGCGAGGGGAGGAGCTGCATGGGAGGGACTGACTTAAGGGGAAAACTGAGACTCAGAGTTGACTGTGGGCTATGGCTGGGCTTGCCATGATGGGAGATACTTCCAGCCTGACTCTAGACTCTGTTGGAAAGTGTGCTAGAGATGAGCAGGTGAGCTGCATTGTTCCTTCTCTGGCCCCTCCCCCACAGGCAGCTGCAGCAAAGAGGGTTGCCCTGCCTGAGTGAATACCTACTGCCCCACCCCTTACAACTTATCAGCTGGGCCAAGACAAAGAGATATGGCCCAAATGAAAGAACACAGCAAAACCTCAGAAATAAGCAATGAGGAAATTGCCAACCTATTCGATGGAGAATTTAAAGCCCTGGTAAACAAAATGCTCACAGAACAAATTGAGCTTGGTCAAAGATGAAAGAACAAATGAAAAATACCCAAAATGAAATAAAGCAAAATATTCAGGGAATCAACAGTGACAAAAAGGAAACCAGGATTCAAAGCAACAATTTGGAACAAAAGGAAGAAATAAACATCCAACTAGAACAGAATGAAGAAACAAGAATCCAAAAAATGAAGAGAGGCTGAGGATTCTCTGAGACAACCTGAAATGTTCCAATATCCGAATTATTGTAGTGCCAGAATGAGAAGAACAACAGCAAGAAACTGAAAACTTATTTGAACAAATAATAAAGGAAAAATTCCCCAATCTGGCTAAAGAAATAGACTTCCAGGAAGTCTAGGAAGCCCAGAGTCCCAAAGAAATTGGACCCAAAGAGGAACAAACCAAGGGACATCATCATTAAGTTACCCAAGATTAAAGACAACAAGAAAATCCTAAAAGCAGAAAGAAAAAAGGAGATAGTTACTTACAAAGGAGTTCCCATAAGGCTATCAGCTGATTTCTCAAAAGAAACCTTGTAGGCAAGAAGGGACTGGAAAGAAGTATTCCAAGTCATGAAAGGCAAGGACCTACATCCAAGATTATTCTATCCAGCAAAGCTTTCATTTAGAATGGAAGGGCAGATAAAGTGCTTCCCAGATAAGGTCAAGTTAAAGGAGTTTATCATCATCAACCCCTTATTATATGAAACATTAAAGAAACTTATCTAAGAAAGAGCAGATAAAAAATATGAACATTGAAATGACAACAAATTCACAACTATTAACAAATGAACCTAAAAGAAAAGAAAAACAATGAAAACCAAAACTAAGCAAACCACCAGAACAGGAACAGAATCAGAGAAATGGTTTTCTCTGATATCCTTCTGTGGACATCACACAGAAGGAGTTCAGTGGGGAGGGAGAAGGGAGGAATAGCGGGGAAGAGGTACAGGGAAGAAGAAGCATAATTAGTAGGCATAAAATAGATGGGGAAAGACAAAAATGATATAGGAAACAAAAAACTCAAAGAACTTATATGTACAACCCATGGACATGAACTAAGGAGGGGGAATGCTGGAGGGTTGGGGGGTGCAGGGTGGAGGGGGGATAAAGGAAGGAAAATTGGGAAAACTGTAATAGTATAATCAATAGAAAATACTTTTTTTTTTTTAAAAAAAAGCTGTGGTACATTTACACAATGGGATACTACTTGGTAATAAAAAAGAAGAAAATCTTACCTTTTGTGACAGCATGTTTGGACCTGGAGAATATTATACAAGTGAAATAAGACAGTCAGAGAAAGACAAGTATCATATGATTTCACTCACATGTGGGATCTAATGAACAAAATAAGCTAACAAAATAGAAACAGACTCATAGCTACAGAGAACAGACTGACAGCTGTTAGAGGGGAGAGGGGAGAGGGGGCTAGGTAAAAATAGTGTAGGGATTAAGCCAAAAAAGAAAACCACCTTGTAGACACAAACAACAGTACAGTGACTACCAGAGGGAAATGGGGTTAGGGGAAGGAAGGAGAGGATTAAGGGGGGATAGTGACAGAGGAGACTTAACTTTGGGTGGTGAATACACAGTACAATATACAGATGATGTTTTATAGAATTGTACACCTGAAACCTATGTAATTTTATTAACCAATATCACTCCAATAAATTCAGTAAAGATTTTTTCTAAAAAAAAAAATAATCTCACCCTGGCTGGTATGGCTCAGTGGATTGAGTGCCAGCCTGTGAACCAAAGAGATGCTGGTTCAATTCCCAGTCTAGGACACATGCCTGGGTTGTGGGCCAGGTCCCCAGTAGGGGGAATGCAAGAGGCAACCATAAGAAACTGATGTTTCTCTCCATCTCTTTCTCCCACCCTTCCCCTCTCTCTAAAAATAAATCTTTAAAAAAAATGAATCTCTAAATTCTCTAAAGAATGTGAAAATCACATTCTTTTGTAAGTTGTACAAAATGACAGTGGTGTGTTCTCCCAAGAGAGCATTAAACCACCCTCCCAAAAGCACCCAAGCTAATGAGGTAACAAAAGCCCAGAGGACTAAAATTAAGCAAAGCAAGTTAGTGTTTGAAATTTAACTCTTAGAACCCCAACTTGAGGAAAATAAATAAGGAAAGAAATTAGAATGAGAAAAAATATAGCATATGAAGTATTTATTAAAATATTTTTTGTTTACATATTTAGCTTTTTAAAAATCCTCACCCAAGGACATGTTTTTAGTGAGGTTTTTTGTTTGTTTTTTGCAGAGGAGAGAGCAAGCGAGAGAAACATTGATGTGGGAAACATCAATTGACGGCCTCCTCTGTGCACCGCAAATGGGGATAGAATCTGCAGTGTGGGGATAGAATCTGCAGTGTAGGTATATGCCCCGATCAGGAATTGAACATGCAACCTTTTGATGCATAAGACAATGCTCCAACCAACTGAACCACCTGGCCAGGGCTGGAAGTTGTATCTTTTCACTGCTTTTTAAAAATATATATTTTATTGATTATGCCATTACAGTAGTTCCATTTTCACCCCTTCATTCCCTTCCACCCTGCACACCCCCTACCACCCACATTCCCTCCCTTTAGTTCATGTCCATGTGTCACAAGTTCTTTAGCTTCTACATTTCCCATACTATTCTTACCCTCCCCCCTATTTCCTACCTACTGTCTATGCTACTTATTCTCTGTACCTTCTCCCCTCTTCTCCTCCTCCCACTCCCCTGTTGCTAACCCTCCAGGTGATCTCCATTTCTGTGGCTCTGCTCCTGATCTAGCTGTCTGCTTAGTTTGCTTTTGTAAAGATGTGGTTGTTAATAACTGTGAGTTTGCTGTCCTTTCACTGTTCATACTTTTTACCTTCTTTTTCTAAATCTCTTTAATATTTCCTATAACAAGGGCTTGGTGATGATGAACTCCTTGAATTTGACCTTATCTGAGAAGCACTTTATCTGCCCTTCCATTCTAAATGAAAGCTTTGCTGGATAGAGCAATCTTGGATGTAGGTCTTTGGATTTCATGACTTGGAATAGTTCTTTCCAGTCCCTTCTTGCCTGTAAGGTCTCTTTTAAGAAATCAGCTGACAGTCTGATGGGAACTCCTTTGTAGGTGACTGTCCCCTTATCTCTTGCTGCTTCTAGAATTCTCTCCATTTTAATCTTGGCTAATGTAATGATGATGTGTCTTGGTGTGTTCCTCCTTGGGTCCAACTTCTTTGGGACTCTCTGAGCTTGCTGGAAATCTATTTCCTTTGCCAGATTGGGGAAGTTCTCCTTTATTATTTGTTCAAATAAATTTTACACTTGTTGCTCTTCCTCTTCCCCTCTGGTACCCATATAATTCAGATGTTGGAACATTTAAAGATGACTTGGAATTTCCTAAGCCTCTCCTCATTTTTTAAAATTGTTTCTTCATTCTTTTCTGTTTGGTTGTTTCTTTCTTCCTTCTGGTCCACTCCCTTGATTTGAGTTCCAGTTTCCTTTCCATCACTATTGGTTTCCTGTGCATTTCCCTTTATTTCAATTAGTTTGGCTTTCATTTGTTCCTCTAATTTGTGACTAAAATCAACCAGTTCTGTGAGCATCCTGATCACCAGTGTTTTGAACTGTGCATCTGAAAGTTTGGCTTTCTCTTTGTTGCTTAGAAGTATTGGCTCTGAGGCTTTGAGTTGTTCTTCTGCTTGAGCCATAATGTTTTGGTCTGTTCATATCCGTTACATATGAGGGGTGGAGGCTCACCAGGTGTTCACGAGGGTGGGTCAACCTACTCACTGGGTTGTGATGCTGTATGTGGGGGTGAGTGCAGAGAGGGAGCAATGGCATTTGTTCCACTCTCTCTCCGATTTTGGTCCCCTCTGCTGCTTCCCACAAGAAAATTGGGCCCCCTGGTGCTGGTTCCCAGGTGTGTGGGCGTGTGCACTCTCCAGAACCCTGTGGGTCTCTCCAACAAACTCTCTGACAGCCAGAGAGCCTCTCCCAGCACCTCAACCCCCGGAATTTTTTCCAATTGGTGCTTTTAGGCTTTATTTCCTGTCGCTGTGGCCCTGGGTTGCACAGTCTGTCTCACTGCCTGTTTTTTTGCCTGGTTTATCTGTGCCCAAATGTGTGTCTTCGGTCAGCCAGCTGCCTTATGAGCCTTACGGGGTTTGCTCGTTTTGTCCCTGACCCACCCAGGTCCACTAACCACCACCTTTTCCTGCCAGGATCCCTCATCGCCAACTATCAACTCTACCCCTCTTACCAGTCTGGACGAATGGTTCGTTGTTGTTGGACTTCAGTACAATTCAATTTTCTGTTTTCATTGTGTTTGTTTCTAAATCTTTGTTGTCCTTAAATTTAATTGTGGGAAGAGGTACAGTATTTCCACCTACGCCTCCTTCTAGGCCAGAAGTCTTCTTCACTACTTCTATTCAATTCCCCTACTCCCCATTTTTCCTTTTTGTAACATCTAAGGCTTAGGGGTCTTTGGAAAGTTCTGAAATGAGTGGATAGATATTAGCATAAGGAATTGTAGCAATGATCATCAATGGTGGATAACCACACAAAAGATCATTAAACATCATATACTTTCTAATAGAAATGCACACTATCACCTTTGAAGTATTCTTGCTACAAACATTGTATTTCAATCTGATCAGACCTAGATCTAACTGCTAATCTACAGGAAACAGAGAACGGGGGGGACATATTAAATGACAAAATTCAAAGTGGGATACACAGGACAAAAGATCAGTCCCTTGAACAACAATATTGCAGGGAACAAAAGACATATTAAAAAGAAACTTAAGAGATTTATTAACCAACTGCAATGTTTGGATCCTGATTCAAATAAAATATATAAAACGAATAAGTATTTTTTTTAGTATCAAGAAAAGATATAATTATTTTTCTTTTTTCTTGCTATCAAGATACTATAAATCCATGAGTAGAAAGTAGCTTCCAAACAAGGCTAAAACCTCATTTGTATTTTACTTTAATATACACGTTGAAAGAGAAAAAACAAAACAAAAAAACTAAGACTTCCACTGCCTACTCTCAGAGGCAAATTCTATTATCATTTTTTTACATTACCATGTTTTCAGAGTTAGAGGTAAGCTTGCATAGTATCCTTTGACTTTTGGCAGTTATATACCACATTTTGTCATTTTTCTTTTCAATTTTTATCTCTTCTTACTGTGTAATGTCACACATGCTAAAAAAATCTTTCAGTTGTCAACTTGATGGCTTTCTAAAAAAAATGGTGATTTTGCATAGATGATTTGAAACTGCCAGTGTCTTCCAAGTTTGGCTGTGTTTACCAGATCAGTGTCTTCAAAAAGTGGTTCACACATTATTTCTAACAAAATAATATTCAAATCACTTTGTATCTCATTTTAATAAACATGTTTAAAGTTTAAAGTTCCTGCAGGAATATTCTGTCCTCTGACACTGTCATTTGAAAAGCTTAGTTTGCAAAGGAATTTTCCATACACCTAATCCTTCCTATAGCTATCCAAGGTAGATACTATTCCCATTTTTTAAAAAAAGAAAACCGAAGATTGCTCCTAAAAGCAAGTCCTACAACTCCTCCCAAAAAACTGAGCAGATGAATGAGGAACAAATCCTTCAAAGCAGGTCACATTTAAAATATAATCTGTGGATTGTGTTTCACAAGTTCTCAATAAATTTGAAAGGAATTATATTTTAAGAGAGAGGGAAAGGGAAGGAGAAAGAGAGGGAGGGAAACATCAATGTGTGGTTGCCTCTTGCACAACCCCTCCAGGAACCTGGCCCACAACCCAGGCATGTGCCCTGACTGGGAGCTGAACTGATGACCCTTTAGTTTGCAGGCCTGCGCTCAATCCACTGAGGTACGAGGTGCATCAGCCAGGGGGAGGAAATGTTTTTAATTCCATGTGTTACTTGTTATGATCACTGTCTTCAAAGTAATTATAATTTAAAAACATAATCATCTATCTGCTCATCAAACCTTTATTAAGTACTTCCCATATACATAGTACTAGGCAAAATATTAAAGAAATGCAAAGATGGATTTTGAAGTGGTACCAACTCTCAAGGAGTTTACAATATAAGGATAGTGACAAATGGTTTTAACACCAACTATAATAAAGGAATTACAAGTAAACATTTGCCCCTGATTGGAAAAATCACCTTATTTCTTCATTTAAAGCATAAACTCCCAGTTGGGAAACAATGCTATTATACACACCTGTATTAGTTCATGCTCTTTACAGGAAGTTGATTGTTTTCATAAAATAAAATGTCTCACCCTGTCACATCTTTATAACTCATTTGAATTCTTATAACAGAAAATTTGCTTAAGAGGAAAAATGATAGATTCATAAAATCAAATTAACATCATCATCATACACAGAAAGACAAAGTATGTCTGCAATAATATGTAAAAAAGTGAACATGGCTGGGTCTAGTAGTAAAGAAGTAAGTCTGAATTACTTTGGCATTTTGCCATGGACAAGTTATTATGCACAATTTCATCACATTTAAAACAGGGTTGATATTTATTAAGATTATGATTCAGATGCTATAATTATTTTCATCTGTCATAAAACATAGTTTAAAAATGAGTATAAAAACTTTTCTAATTGTATATAAAAATAATTTGAAATAAAACTAAAGATAAGTTAGTGTGGATAATTTAACAGTAAACTGTTCAGTGCAGAAATGTAAATTTGCAAGTATCTGTTTTTTCTATATTTTATTACTTTTCAAAAATGGTTCAGATAAGAAACTTAATTAGTAAAACAAGTTTGAGGATTTATTTTATAAGAGGTGTTGCAGAGAAAAGGAATGGGCAAATAGTACAATTTTCAAATATTTGATTCACACTTTCCAGAAAAAATTTTTCAAACATATCACCAAAGACCCATACTTACTCTCTGCTCTCAATGCTAAGCCATTTTTTCTAGCAAAAAATAATGACATGATGTATATTTTTATGACTAATCTGTTTGTGACAGCTGTAATTCTCAAATGTCTTTTAAAAAAATACAAGTAAACTTCAAAGTTGTAGGTAAAATTGTAAAATTTTACACTGTAAAATGTAAATTTTACAATTTTACATTGTAATTTTACTTATAAAATTGCTACACACATGTAGCAATTGAGACCACATGTAGCAATTTTAAAAACTGAATAGGCAAAGCCTTACTCTAACCAATTGACCAATCAACTGGATTGGGACTTGGCTCAAGAGCCCTGCCCACATCAGAGAGGTTCCCATCCATGTTTCTAACACAAGCAAGGCTGCTAACACCGGGGGCTGCACACCACAGCACAGGCAGAGAGAGGAGGCCCTGCTGACTGTTTTATTCTTCAACAGATTTCTTTTCTCCACTCTCTTCATTGGCTTCATCTTTTTCCATGCAAGAATCCTGGCTGTTGGTTTCAGTAAAATAGTTTTCTTCCCCATCCACTCTTTCTTCTACATTTTCTTCTTCATTAAAGCTAGAGGAAGAAATTTATCAATCTTTCAAAGGAAAAACGATTTGGTTTAAAGGTAAACCCTTTTCAATGTATGTCAGCGTGAAGTCAGTCTTCCTCAAGTGTATGAGCTCCAATTTATCAAGAAAACTACAAAAGTACCGATTGCAAAAGTAAATATTTCTCTGAGAACTAATTTATTTCAAAACTTGGTTGACTCTTTAAACTTCATTTGAAAGCATGTTATTATATTCATTATTTATTCCAGTCAGAAGCTTAAATTATTCTGCCTTAAAAATAAGGTATTTCATCACTGGGCAATATTTTGAATGTGTCAAACATATTAAAATATCAGTATGTTTTACAACAGCTCAAATGTATTTCATTAGTTAATAAAATCTTTTTAAATTATTAATATTATAGAACAGAATTTTTGCTTTCCTGCAGGTATATATTTTTGCAGAGGTATATATACCATCCAGACGTCTTATATATGTTACCTTTCTTTATCTTCACTGAAACTTTTCATCTCTTGATTGAAGGGCCCAAATATTTTTCCACTTTGGCCTTTCTTTGAAACAAATTCATCAGATATTCCTAGTGCTTTTAGGGTGTTAGAATAATGCTTTTCTGCTGCCATTCTTGCATTTTTCTATAGGAAAGACAAACCTTTTTAGATGAGAACAAAAGACTTCAAATTTCCACTAAAAATGTATGGGTTAAAATTAAATTCAATAATCAGTTGGTTGAAAATATGCATACCCTCCAACCAGGTCCTATGTACATACCCAGAGAAATTCCTACATGTGACCTGGGAGACAATTATAAAAATTTTCAGAATAGTACTGTTTGGAACAACCCAAATATCTTATCAACAGTATAATGGATAGATAAATTGTAGTCTATTCATACAATTGAGTAAAATAAAGCAATGAAAATGAATGAACTCTAGCTATACACCATAACATGGATGGATCTCAGAAACATAATACTGAGCAAAAGAAGCAAAATACAAAAGAATGTGTGTATTCATTTCATTTACACATACACAAGAAAACCCAAATAGGCAAAACTAAACCATATTGTTTAGGGATAGATCATAGGTGGTAAAATTGCAAAGAAAACAAGGAAATCCCTCAAAAGTTAGAACAGTGGTTACCTCTAGGGGACAGGGAGAGGCACACAGGCCTGGGTGCCAATGCTATTTGTTAACCTGGCTGGTGGCCACATGAGTTTTAATCTACAATTATTATTATACTATACCTGTTTTTTATACAC